TTAAATTCTTTTGTAACGGTAAGCAGTCCGCAATATATACATCTCCAAAAGGCGTATTTCGATGAATAAAATACATTGATGTTAATAGATGCTTGGCCCTGTTGCACTTAGGCTGTTCCTTTTGTGCAGATGACAGCTCCTGCCAACAGTTTCAGTAATAATGTGTGTTGTGGGTAGGAGTAGCTGTGGGCAGGAGTGGCTGCGGTGCTCTCCAGGACCTCTGGTGTCACTCCAGAGTAGGCACAGGCATTGTGGCACAGAAACCCATGAAGTCCTAGAGATGGACCATAGCTTGACTAGTATGCGAGAGCTGTGTCAGAAGGTACCCAGAACATTTACCATGCATGGAAAAGAAACAGGCTGAGGAAAAGCGGGATGACGGTGAGGGTCCCGGCAAGCAGGAATAGCAAAATGGAGTGGTCAAAGGGGGAAACGACATTGGCTGGAGGTGTTAGTAAAGAGGCTCTGCAGGGACCAACAACCGGGATTATAATATTACAGTGGATTCAGATTTGCAGATGACGCACATTGGTGCTGCATGAGTTGCAAAAGGGCTTGACCATTGGACTGTGCAGCCTAATTGCTGGGAAATGTGGATCCATTTATTAGTGTAGTTTAATACTACTGTGCCAGGCGTGCACGCAGGCTTTAGAAAGGACGGGCAAGGCACAGAGTGTAAGTTATATAGCATATGATCATGTTGCTGTGCAGAAAAATTGCAATCTTGAGGGAGCAGTAAGAATGTGTACACCAGTGCTGTGCTAGTACCAGAAAACTCCAATACTGGTGAAATATTGGAAGGATGCAAAAGGAGCACAAGGTCTGCAGAGCAGCCCTGCTATGAGACCTCCTAAAGGAATTTTGTTTGGTTTATCCAAAAGATTAACGAATTACAAACAAAAAAACCACCCAAAATTGAGTATTACAGAGCTTCTTAATATAGTGGAAATAGGCATGACAAGAACCAGAGGCTGGCAAAAGGAAAGCAGCTGAATTAAATGAAGTTGCACACTTTCAGCCAAGAGGATGATTAATCATTGGAATGAGTTCTCAAAATAAAGTATTTTCCCAGGCACTGTCTAGTCAAATGTGATTAACTGGGCTTTGTGAAGAAGTAACAGGGTAAAAATGTCTGTGACACGTTAGGTGGTCAGCCTAGCTGATGTAATTTTCCTTTCTAGCCTTAGCTTGGCAGCCCTGTGAAAACTTTATAAAGGTGGCATAATGGATTTCAGCTTGCTAACACTGTAGAAGGGTCATCATCTTGACTTGAATGAGGAAATATCCAGGTTGGCTTTTGGATTTCACTGGGAATAAATAATTAGCATTTATGTAGTTCTTTCTATTACTAAATTTTCACACTTGCAGGAAGGCACATCTAAAGTAAAGCCAGATAAACCAGCATAGAGGTGAGGTATGGCCAAGTGAATCAGCAGCAGACCTGGAAAAAGCCCCAGTGTCTCCTGGACAGACTTGTTTTCTTGGGAGGACTCAACTGTCTGAAATCCAGCATATTCTCTAGCCCGTATCATTACTGAACTCCAGAAGGCCAAACACAACAACATGAACTAAACTTAGAATATCCCAAAATGGTGTTCTGATGAAAAGCACAAGGTATACTAAGAAATTACATGAATTTTTTATTTCTATATATAGTTTATATATTATTTTATAGATATTAAAAAATTAGGCTTATATTTACCATGTGATTTCTATGTAAATGTAAGGCAACACTTCTGCTAGGCAGGTGTTTCTCTTCATTTAGTGCTCAGCACTGGCAACGCTACCTTACCTAAACTCACATAATGGCTTCTGGGAACTCATTGAGATTTTGAGAGCACTCTTAGTTGTCTGGGCCCACAGAGGTCAAAAGAGCAAACATGTTGGTCTTCTGTTCCCCATGCTGTCAATCCCAAATGCCTACCTTCACTTGAAATGATTCACTCAAATATAAAAGGTTAATACTTACCCCTTGATTTTTGGATTTGGGAGTTCAATGAAGAAAATCTCTTGAGAGTTAAAAGATAGCTACTTCTACACTATTTATGTCATCTTGCAACTGCAGGTTTTTTTCACATAAGGAACATGAGTCATGGGGCTTTCTGAGGCTTCAGGTTTTGATTTTTATGTTCTTGGTATACATGCAATTTATATGTAGTACCAGGAAGATAAGAGTGCTGAGCAGGTGGCTGCAGGGTCCAATTGGAGTCAGCCCCAGTCTGTCTTCCATCCTTGGTCCTGCCTGAGACTGCACAGTGTGCTGGTGACAACAGGATCGTTTACTAGGAGTTGAACTGAGCCTGTTGCTTTATTTCACATAATACTACATGGTCACCTTCATGTGTCCAGCACCGTGGCAGCAGAGGGTAGCTGAGATTAATTTGTGGCAGCACTTGCACGGGAAACTGAGCCCCTGGAAAATGTTGTTTGTTTTGGCCAACACAGATTTAGCACTTTGCTTTATGTCGAGATGGCGTTTTGCTATTTCTGGAAGAATTGTTTAGAAATTAGTAAAGGAGCTGTTGTAGATAGAGGTGTTTATGAGTTAAGGAGTGAGATATTTTTATTTTTTTTTTTTTTTTCAAAAGTGACTTGTAATTTGGGTGCCTGCACTGTGAAGTATATTGCCAGTCATATGGGGAGCGGTGGTGCTGCTCGTTATAGCACCCTGGTGAGGGCTCATTGCGTTTTATAAAGCACATGCTTCTTCGGTGGTTTGGAAAGTAAGGCATGTGAAACTACTGCCCTGCTTCTTGGTGTAACTACTGCCCTAGTGCTGGGTAGGTCTGGTTCATTTGCCTGATGCTCATTGAGGATGCTTACCTGAGCAGGAGCTGCAAAACACGTCCAACAGATGCCAGTGCCGTGCAGAGCATTTGGAAGTCCATTTTCTGTCTTTCTGGGTTTGGACGAGTGTTGCCTCTGTCACTTCTGGGTGCTGATGGCTCCTTTCTCCCTGGGAAGAAGTCACCCCTGTCCTGCCTGGTTTGACCTGTTGAAAAATGAATTCCCTAAATTAAATTCCTTTCAAATACAGTGTGGCTAAAGCACTTGGCTCAGGGGAACAGCTGTGGCAGTGATTCATGGTGATCCACCGTGCCCTGACCCACAGGTTGTACTGCCCAGGAATCCTACCCTAAATTAGTGGTTAGGGAAAAAGTGATTAAAGAGAGGCCCTTTTTCTGTCATTATCTGTGACAGGGTTGGGGGGGTGTTCTGTGCAGGGGTTGTGCAATGGTTTTGTAATTGCTGGGGAGAAGTAGTTCAGCACGTGAATTAATTTCACCAGCAGAAAACGTTAGTGGTTGACTTCTGCAAAGGGAGGTTTAAACTGTATCATTAAGAGATGATTAAACTCTGGCTGGATTAAAATAAAGGTTCCATGGATATGGAGGCAGAAGAGACTGAGGTGGTGCCTGTTGAGCACTTGAGGTCTCTTACAATGGCATGTGTTAGAGCTGGAGTTTTACCCTGCTGTTACTCAGTCCTGCCTTCATCCAGTCCTCTCCCTGCGTCCTTCCTTCAAAGACAGGATGGCTTTTGTTTTGAAGGGTATTTCTGGAATCTTGCGAATGTGATGTTTCTGTGCTTTTAGGCGCGGAAGTGCAAATATCACCTTTGTTTATTTAGACATGAATTTAGATTATTTCCCTCGGCTGCTCTTAGTTTTTTACAGTAATTCTCATTAGTTTGTGCAGTTATATTGCCAATAGAAAAACTCATCGTTAGGAGCTTTAGAAGAAATAAAAACAAAACAAGGGAATGATGAATGAGTCTATAGGAGTTTTTAAAAGATATTTGTAAGTTTAAAAAAAAAAAAATAGAAAACGGTGCATTCAGCTTTCACGTTACCTGATGATGGTGCCAGCCCTGGCATATTGCACTGTTTCACTCTTGCTCATTATATTTCGATCTTGTAGCTTTATGCTTCCCAGAGGAGTTGAAATAAATACACAGTTACTATAGGCCTTAATCTTACTCCATTTGATTTCATTCACATATTCTGACTTCTATGACAGTCTGATTTCTAACAAATCAGCTCTACCCCTCTTTGCCTCAACCAAAGCAAAAAAAAAGGTTCATGAATTGCCCTGCTTGCAGTGGTGTCAACTAGTCACAATATTCCAAATATTTCTTAAACATCTGTTAAAGTATGTTATTGTGTTAACCAAAAAAGACACTTGACAAACAAAGAGAAAACAAATGCTTTTCCAGGTATTCTGTCAAGGTAGTGCATAGCTTTAACATCTGTTAAGTGTGCTGCTTGTCATCCTATTTTGTATTACACACCAGGTCAGAGATTAAGCTGTGCTGCAGATTTTTCGTAGAGTGTCCAACTACTGTCTAACTCTGTGTACTACATCAAGTTTTATATTTATCTCAGTTGCCTCGTTGTGTTAGCATTGGTAGAGTTGTTTCTGCTTTCTATGATTATTTGGAATTTTTCATTCACTTGTTTTTAGTACACTGAAAATCTCACATGTAGTGGGGTCCAGTAAGTACTGTCAGCATGAAACGTTTAGAAGAGGGGTTACCAAAATGTCATCTGTGAGGCAGTAATTAGGGGACTTTGTCTTCCCAGAATCTTCTGCTGCACCTGGGAACAAGTGACAGCTACCAGCTAGATGATGTTGAGTATTAGTTTGGTGACGTTGGTTCCAAGGGATTGTGTTAAGAGAAGTATATACGTGTGTGGATGGAAAATTTTATTTATTTCATTTTTGCTAAAACACACCCATCATAAGGAATAAATGAAGCTGCTCTCCAAAACTGAGATTCCCCTGCACAGACCTGCCTTTCTCACCTGTTCTCCCTCACATCCTCTGTCCTCCCCCCTTCGCTTCTTCCACTTGGGCTGACATTCCATGGTCAACAAAATCCGATCCTGACAGAAAAGTACAGCAAGAAACTACACAACATGCAGCTTCTGGTGTCAGTTTTATGTACGCATGTAGGTACCTTTAGGTAGTATTTTTCAAGGAGATACTATATTTTCTTAGCAGGTTGAAGTTGAAGTTTACCGGAGAGATTCTAAGAAGCTTCCTGGCCTGGGAGACCCTGACATTGACTGGGAAGAGAGCGTCTACTTGAACCTCATTTTACAGAAGGTAACAGTGATGCTGATCTGATTTTCATGGGCTATTTATGCTAGAGAGGTTTAGAGGAAGTCTTTGATCTGTCCCTTTTCCTCCCTAGCTTGGGGGATTTGAACACTTCTGGAGGATACAAAGAAAACATGATTTTAATTTTGCCCTTCAGAGTCTAAATGAACATAAACTGAGATATTTATTATATTTTCAGTAGAGTCCTAATAGATTTCCTCAGAAAACTTAAAATATACGCAGTGAAGCTGGGCTGAATTTTATGCTCTGTAACAAAGTTTTGCAAAATAGAAGGCTTTGTCAAGTTTAATAGTTTCCAAGAGTGAACGAGACTGTTAGACAAGCAACGTTTCCATTAGAGTTCACACCACTGGTGCAGCTAACAGAGGGAACTGCTAAGTGGAAATGAAGTAAAGGTGTTATGTATTGCGCTGGGATTTTGCTGCTCTTGACATCAGAACTTTAATAAAACTTTTTTTGGTGGTGGAAACATGAAGCTAGCACAAATTATTTGTTTAATTAACTCATAGGTTGTTCAGTTATTCTATATGTTACATTGGCGCTTCGGGAAGCTGAACATTACTAGAGTCATTCAAGATCCCTTAAAAGTTTTGTTGGTTATGATCTCGGAATGAGAGACTGCTGGCTCGTTGCGCACATCCTGGAAAATAAATTGTTTTCATTCTCTCTCCTTCCTCCCAAAAGTCTCATTGCAGAATTCTCTGCAGAGAGCAGTTTCTGCTTTTATTTGATGCTGAGTAAAACCAGAATCTGTTTGCTACAGTCAGAATCCAGAGATGCTGTTACAGCTGGGCATTGCTGTCCACAGCTACCACGCTTGCTCCTTACAAGTTTTTTTGGGTTGTTTGGCAGGCTATGTTAATGGTTCCTGACCTCTCTAATATGTGCTTGTGTTCATCAGTGTTTCTATTTTTCTCTTTTGAAAGGGAGGATATCTTTTCCATTTCTACCTGAAAGTGTGCTTGTGTGTGTCACACTTACTGCTCCAGCTGACCAGTAAGCTAGTGTTAAACGATATCGACAGGAGTTTCTTTACTCATAGGTTGCTGAGTGCACCTCAGCAAGCATCCGTGCAAAAGCTTTCAGTATTGAGTTAATAAACACACAGGCTTGAAAATTGTAGAATAATAAAGAGAATAAAGTATAATAATAAAAAATAAAAAGAAAACCACAATACCAAACCATCTTACTTTGTAGCCAGACAGCTAAAAAAATGAAGACAATGTGTTCTGCTTCGTGCACTGATTTTTTGTTTTTCTAATTCTAAACCTTTATTTCTCTATCTGGTGCCCATTTTAGCTGGATTATGTGGTGACATGTGCTGTGTGCACACGCTCCGATGGAGGAGATATTCACATTCACAAAAAGAAATCTCAGGTGAGATCACCATGTCATTACTGTGAATAAGAGGTTGGCATTCAGTATTACCTAATCCAAAAAACTGTATCAAAACCAGGGCAGTGGTTCTTGGCCTGCGCTCTGACAGATACATCCTAGTGAAGTATCTCGAGTTTTTGTCTAGTGACATTTCCTGCCAGTCAGCTAAATGTGAGATCTAAATGTCCTTTATAGCCTCTCTCAAAAAATTGTAAGGACCTCTTCATGCTTTCAGGATTTATACTTTTGTCTACTGGATTTGAGGGGGGTGCGCTGGGAGGGAGTATGCCCAACTGTTAACTAATCTGAGGGTAAACCTGAAATGAGACCTGAGTTATGAGAAGCCTTTGGGGTAAATCTGTAATGTAGGGCTGTTAAATGGTAGACAATTGACTGATTGCCAACTTATCTTTTTATTGTTTTCTTGTTTTCTCTCTTAAACTGCTCATTCCTTCTGTATCCATACCAAAGGTTTTTATCACTTGCTCGTGTGCATCATGCAGTTAATCCGGGGTTAGCATAATGGAGGAGACTGAATAATAAGCACGGAGGGGATAGGAAGAAGAAACCCCAGACTGCTTCACTCAATTTCCAGCAGATCTTGCAATGACTTCTCCTAGTTGGCAGAAGTGTTTTTGTTTTTTTTTTTAAAAAAAAAAAAAAAGGCTCCTGTTGCCTTTAAAAGACTTTCTCTCGCAAGCATTTCCATTCCTTTTGGTCATTCAGCTGCTTGTGTGGTTTTACATAAAATAAACCAATGCTCTTTAATCCTTTAATTTTGTTTTACCGCTTTAAAACAATCATTGCTTTGCCTACAAACAAAACTAGCTGAGCTGATTATTGTATTTGTGATTTGCATTAGTTAGGTGCATAATTCCCTTCTGGTGCTGTTGAGACACCACATTACGCTGATGTAAGCCTTTTATTTTTCATTGCTTTTTCCACTGTTTGCTAGTCCAGATTTCATCCTGAGTTAACTTCTGCAAAATTCTTTTGAGAAGATCTGTAAATAATGCGTGCAGATTTGAAAACTAGGAAGATGCGAATGAGAGACCTGCCCTCACTGCGTGTGAGCGGTATTCGCAATAAGGAGCGGATTTTCTGTTCCTCATTCCTAGAGGCTTGTACTTTGAGACTGCTTATAAATTTTGCTTTGTCTCTCCTTTTCTAGGAGAACTTGATCACACATTAAAACTTACCAGTACGTATTAGTAACATTTTAATATCATGAAGTTTATCTATGGAGAGAGAAAAGGCTGTATGCTATGGAAAGCACATTTGCAGTAGGGCATTTCATTGTAACATGCACCATTGAGGCTTTTTGTTTTAAATGAACAAAAGCCAACTTTTTTGGATCTATATTACTGCTCTTTGTCTAGAAAGCATGTATTATCTGTCAGTGTGCAGGCAGATGTTGAAGAGGTAGAAGCCCTATTCAGGTCTAGGACTTGCTGTGCTACTCCAGACCTATGACAAAGCAACTGCGTTCATAGTAATAGAGTGCCTAAGGCACAAAGCAAACAAAAAAAAAAAGGTTTTCCCTAAATTATTTTGCAGACTATGCTGTTTCTCTGCTGGCTTGACAATAAGATCTCTACAAACTGTGACTCAGGTGTGTCTGAGTGGAGACGAGTTTGGGGAGTGTGTTTGCTTTACATCAGATGGCATGAGAACAAGGATGGCTGGAAGATGTCCTTGTTTCAGGCATTGGTGCAAGCATCATCTTTGAGGAGTCTTGTTACTTTCTAATGTTGTTCCGTGTCATGAAGCAACCTTTCTTTTTAATAATCTGTATTTAAATGTGCATCTAGGCTTCAAAAGTACAAATATGGAAAAGCAACCCTCTTGTGAATATCTAATATCCTACCCTTAGTCATATTTCACGTTGAATGGTTTGTAGCAAGAATATCACAAGCCTGACAATCTGGGCAGATTCAGAGCTTTCAACGCATTCATAGTGGGCTAAGATTTGACAGGTTTCTTTAATTCAAAGCTTTGTTTGTAAACAGAGGTGGAAGCAAAGAAAGCTACTTGGTATGAATTCTTTTCCCTCTTTACCTTGCTTGCTAATCTTGTTGTAATGATAAAATCTAGAGCCTTTAGCTATTTAAACATCAGTTGTTTTGAGGAGTGAAATGGCCAAAGGAGTTCAAGAACTGCTTCAGAGGGAGGAATGTGCAAGAGGAGGCACAGTGGATAGAGAAAGAAGCAGAAGATGAAGATGAGAAATCAAGTGCTTGTCCTCCTGAGGGCCTTGTACTGAGTGATGTTGATCTTATCATGGTACTAAGCAAACAATAACAATTAAATTAACTATACAAACAAACAATGTTCAGGCCAGCTACTCCACAATAACTTTCCTGCTGTGTGTGCTTTTACTTTACAGCATGTTGCAGCAATTTAAAGGCAGCTCAAGGTTGTTTTCTCTGTTAATGAAAAGGAGAATACCTTAGCTGTACCATAGGATGGTGAGAGGTCAGGTATGCACAGGGTATTTACTGTGGAGCAACTAGTATTTGATAACTTGCATGTGAAAAGGCAAGGATTTCACAAGTGGTGTAATTATTGCAAAACAGGCTGTAGTCAGAAACCAACTCAGCTTTGCCTGCAGGATGTCCAGCTTCACTAGCGTCAGTGAAAATGTTGGCTGACTGAGCGGTGTTGGACTTGTGGTGTTTTGGTATTGCTTGCCTTGTGTTCAGTGTTTCTATTGCTGAGCCTGTTTAACTGAGAAGATGGTTTGGTTTTTTTCTGTCTCTTTCTCAGCAAGTGTTTGCATCTCCTAGCAAACACCCAATGGACAGCAAAGGAGAGGAGTCAAAGATCAGCTACCCCAACATTTTCTTTATGATTGACAGTTTTGAAGAGGTGAGTTCCTTGTTGCAACAGCAGAGTTTTGTCCTATTCTAGTCTTACGTCCTGATTAGCTGTTTTCTTGTACCTTTTGAACAAGTGTTCTTGGCTAATTGAGGGTTATCTTCCAGTAGTTTTTATTTTATTTTATTTTATTTGACCTTCCTCTCTTTAATGTTTGAAATCTGAGCTTAAAGCTGGATTTTGGCATCTGTCTTTATGATGAGCTAAAGCAAGACAGGCTGATGTGATAGCTGCTTATCTCAACACATGATTTGCAGTATGCAGTGCCTGAAATTTGTTTTTTTGAAAGGCTAGAGTGGAGCGTACAGCTCCCTTGCTTGCTCCCTTGCTTTCTCCCATTTACACTGAAAGTGCCTTGGACCTAAGGAGAATCATGGGAATCTGAATATATTTTAACTTTAACAGCTGCAGTTTGCCTTTAAGTGTTTCATCTTGCATCTTCGTCAGGTTTTCAGTGACATGACTGTAGGAGAAGGCGAAATGGTCTGTGTGGAGCTGGTGGCCAGTGACAAAAGCAACACCTTCCAAGGGGTGATTTTTCAGGGGTCCATCCGCTATGAAGCACTCAAGAAGGTCTATGACAACAGGGTAAGGCACTTCTGAAAGACAACATCCTTTGTACAATGGAACTCTGACCACAGTTTTAATTTGCTGCCGAGACTGTTAGCTTTTTGTCCTGTTAGATCATCTGCATTGTAGTCTGTCCTTTTCGGCTTTGAAAATCACCTGAAAGCTAGTGCGTTTGGCTCAGACAGCTGAGAGTATTCTGATCAGGATGTATTTCTATGGTGTTTACCAAAAAGAGTGAAGTTGATGAAGTAGCCAAGACCATGACACAGATCTGAGTAACAGAGTTCTGGGAACCCCTTAATTTTCTTCAAAGGTCATACATATTTCTAGTTACTTCAGAGAAGGCATGTTTTTTGGGGAGATTTTAAACTCCAATAACTCTCTTGCTACATATAAAACGTGTTTTTCCTTAGTTTGTTTTGTACATGTGGTATTTTCAACAGGCCACTGTAGTTTCACTGCCACAGAAGGAAGCTTGCTTTGCTTTCCTATAGAAACATGAAATGCCAGCACTTTCAGCTTCAGTTTCAGTACTTAGTGCTGAAGTCAAGTGAGTGCAAGAGCCGGTAAACTTCTCAGTTTGCTATGGAGACAGTCCAGAGGGTTAAAAACAAAAAAACCACACACACCCACAAACAAACAAAAAAACCCCAAACAAAGAAAAAACCCCAACATCCCCCCCCCAAAAAAAAAACCCACCAAAAAAAAACCCCAAACCCAAACAACAGTAAACCACCAATGCCTGCTGTGACTGCAAACTTCATTTCCCTTTCTTCCTACCGTTTTCAGGAGAGGTCCTGAATAATTTCCCTTCTCCCTGTTTTAGATGTGAGTAGTTTATACTCTTAAGGCAATTTTTTGAGAGAACATGAAACTGAAATTGTTTCTCTGTCCCACCATCATCTTATGGCCTCTCACAATCAGCAGGTGGATTATTAAAATACATGGGAATGCAAAATCACTGAAGTCAGAATAAGAAGAAAACCTTGCAGTGGAAAGACAAAATTCGACGTGGTAATGTCACCTCGTAGCCTAGGAATGTCCTGTTTGACCATGCTGCTACTTTACATTGTTTTCTTAGATGAAATAAAATCATTAGATCTTCAAATATTCAATTTCCAAAGGAAAAACTTGAAATTTGACCTTTCTTTTAACAGAACAGAAGCAAGCTCTCTATACTTCTGAAGGTTATTTGATTTCAGTTGTGTCTGTTCATTCTCAGTACAGTACAAGTTGCATTACACAATGAGCATCTTGGCCCTTTCGGGTGATAAACTGCTGAAAGCTGTGATAAACCACTTAAACTTATGGATAAGTCCTACTTGTTTCACTTGGCAAAACCTTGACTGTTTTCATATTGGTCTGTTCCTTTTTTCAGTTCTCAGTTCAGTTTTCAGTTCAGTTGTGTTAACTGGAAATTGAGCCCAGTTGTCTGTTGAGAGGGTTCAAAAGCTGTCAGGGTTTTGCGGTGAGCAATGCGATGCAGGTTAGTTGTGCATGGGGGCTGGTTCTTTATGCTTTGGGCTTGACAATATGGACACAGAAATGTCTGAACTGACTTGTCACAAAGTAGTGCCAGAGTTGTGCAGTGCGCTTTGCTAGTTTGGGGCATCTTGTGTGCGTGTCTGTTGCTTTTTGGACTTAAACAAGTGTCCCTGCACTTGTCCCTTTGTGCACGTGCCTGCTTGTGCTGTGGTGTGCCACATTGTGTGGGTCTGGATAAAAACCTTTTATTTTATCTCAGCGTGCCATGGGGTAATTCTGCTTTTTGGATAGCTGAAGGAATCGATTCTTCTCTGAGCTTCTGGTTTTGTATCTGTAAAATTGCCTCCCTTTTGGAAATCCCTTCAGACTGTAGTTTAAAATGCTGCTTAAGAATCAAGATAATGATCATTATCCACCATGTTTTTGACTTATTCCTAGATAACTGCTTTCAGAGAATATTATTCTTGTGAAACATTGAGATGATATTACATGGTTTTCTCTCCTGTCTTGATGCATTGCAGGTGAGTGTTGCAGCTAAGATGGCTCAACGAATGTCTTTTGGCTTTTATAAATATAACAACATGGAGTTTGTGCGAATGAAAGGGCCACAAGGGAAAGGACATGCAGAGATGGCAGTGAGTAGAGTTTCTACTGGTGACACTTCACCATATGGGACAGAAGAAGATTCAAATCCAGACTCCCCAGTGCATGAGAGAGTAAGTAGCAGACAGAAATACTGACTTACGGTTAAGCATTAATATGTTTTGTTCCAAAGCCAGTAGATGGACTGAAGCTGGGATTAACTCATATCACGGTTCTAAACTTAGGCTTTTCTGTGTATATTTTTGAACATACTCAGTATATGCAGATGGATTTTTAGCAGTTTCCCTTGAGCAAATACTGAATACAGAGATGACTGGATGATTCATACTTCTGGAGGAGTGTTTTGTTGAAACAACAGCGACGTTGATGCCAGGGAAAATGATGATTCTGCCTGTTTTCTATGAAAATTAATAGATTCCATTTCTGTACAAGCTGGGATTTACCTAGAAACATGGAATTCATATATTATGTAGGTTGCTTGCTAAACTTCACAGGAACTGGTACTGTTAGGAGATTTTGCCATTGATGAATGCTGCCAGTGTGAAGCCTATGTAATACTAAAGCAAAGATTATGGATCTAGATGCGGTACCACATTTATGCATATTCTTGATTTTAATGTGAGTGCAATAAAATACCAATAGAGTTAGTCCATAGATGCTGATCTGGCCCTTATTCAGTCCCAAGCTTTGTTTTCAATTAAGGCATTTTACTTAGTTAATGGGGATTAGGCAATGTGCCTTCAAAATACCTGCATAGCTGTGTCCTGACCTGGGCTGGGAAGTTCCTGCTGGATTCTAGTCTGGTTTCCTGTGTAACATAGCTAACCCGTGTAGTTTAAAGGTCTGCAGGATTGCTTCTAAAGGTCTCCGTGCAAGCTGTGTGATTTTTTTGTTTCTGGCTTCCTAAAAGGCAAAATGAACTGCTTGCACAGAGCTCATTAACTTGATGTGCTTGCTCCCTACCATAGAGATACAGCCTGGAGAAATCAGGCCTGGAGGGACTTCCTGATCTTTTGGCTCCAAGACTTTCAGTGTTAACTGGAAAATGTAAAAATACATGTGATAATGTATTATCATTGCTTTTTGCTAATGGGTTTAATGATGAATTGTTTGTTTGTGGTTTTCCCTCCAGGTGTGATATTGAAATGGCTTCAGAATTAAAAACAGAGAGAAGCACAAATTAGAGATTAAGTACACTAAAGAGAGAATCCATTGGGTGGTAGAATACTTCTGATTTTTATTTTTACTTTTTTTACATTGATGATAGAGGGATAACAGTGCTTCTGCAATGCAATAGCAACCCAGCTTGTCTGTCATCCTCACTCACATCACCTCCCTCCTTATTTGTACGGACAGATGTAAGCAATATCAGATCTCATCTCAGGAGGAGTTATGGGATTATTAAATTAGCTTTGTGAAGAAGGAAGGATGAGATAGAAGTTGTTCACCTCCATTAGCAAAGTGGTTATCCCTTTTTTTTTTTTTTTCATTTGAAATGAAACTATTAAAACACTACTTGCAAAAGCAGTACGCAAGCACTGCATTTCAATTCTTTCTGAAATAGATATGGTTGACTATAATTGTGGTTTACGCAAAAGCAACAACTGCTCTAAGGGCTGGTTGTCTCTCCAGTTTCGTCCCAAACCTGTGTTTCACCATAGACAATTATATCCCCGTTTGTCATATCCTTCTGTTGACTAACCAAATCATCAGGGGCCTCTCCGTTTGTTTTTCCTCATCCTATATTGAAATGTGATATGAAGGTAAATGTACATTGACTTCACTTTTGCGTCAGTATCTTAGGTTAAGTAATTGCCTTGTGACACTGTTTCACAGAGACACCGTGACCTTTCACAGTGATCCCACGTGGTGTTCCTCTAAGCAGAGAAACTACTACCTTGTGTTTGCCAAAGAAATGAAGATGCACAATTTTAGTATGTCCAGTACAATATGTTCTTAGCCTATTAAGTCTTCTGAATTTCAACATGCAAAAATAAGATTGTCGTTCTTGGTGCATAAATTATTAATGTGTATTTTGTTCCTTTATGACTATAATTCCTTGTTAAGTGATCAGCTGAGGAGAGAGGTTCTTCATGCCCGTGTAGCAGTTGAGAGTGATGATCTCTCAAAATATTTTCATCTTGATGAGCATCTTGAAGCTGAGATGACTGTTCAGCTGATATTTTCTGACCACTCTGATAAAACTTACAGCTAGACACCAGTCATGATTCTGACTTTTACACATGTGACTGCCTTGTGGCACATATTTAAGACTGATTACTTCTTACAACAAGCATAGAACTTTTTAAACAAAACTTTCTCTAGCATTTCTTCTATTTCCCTTTCAGGTCACTTCTTTCAGCACACCACCAACCCCAGAACGCAACAATCGCCCATCCTTTTTCTCCCCATCCCTCAAGAGAAAAGTGCCCCGAAATCGAATTGCTGAGATGAAGAAATCCCACTCGGCAAATGACAGTGAGGAGTTCTTCAGAGATGAGGATGGTGGAGGTGAGAGAAGTAATATCAGCTAAACAGACTTGTCTGGAGAGGGCACAGAGCTATGGAAAGGGATCCCATTGCTGGATTTTCCAAAAGGTTTGCAGTGTAATAAAATGTAGCGCCACAGAAAGTCAAGCATCAGTGTCACTCTGATACTGTGGTTATTCTCAGGCTTAGCATCTCTCTGAACACTGGAGACCAACAATTCCTGCATAAGTTTAAAACTTATCTATCCCTTTTATATAGGTGCATTTGAGAGAAACTTGAGAATAAGCAGGAAAGATCCTCCTGCTTTTCCAGATACCACACTTCCAGGTGTCATTCTCCCAGATATTGCAATGTAGTGGGGTAGAGCATACTCTCATGGACAGGTCCTCTGACTTCCCTGATTTGATCCAGAGTTGGTAAAAAGGCATTTACTTCAACTGGCTTTGGATCAGTTCTGAACTCTCTAAAAAGAAAACCTGATGAAGTAATTTTTGATATATATATAATGGTTTAACACAGGAACTCTTCAAAGGAACTCTTCCTTTGAAGTCTATTTACTCAATATGAAACAATCAACAAGATAAAAAACCGAGTCTGATTCAGAATATAGCGTATAAATCAAATCATATCGTAGTTTTGTTAGGCAGGAAACTCACAAGCATCCAAGTCCAAACTGCTTTTCATACGTTTAAAAACAATTCAGTAGAAAAGCCAGAAAATCTACCTATCTGTAGATATCTGTAGGAACAGCCCGTGAGGGCCCGCTTCACTTACTTTTGCTGTGTGCAAGCATGACACAACCAGAGAATTGCACTTACTCCAGCTACCGGAGTCAGGTCCTTCTGACCTGATCACCACAGTGCTCTTGGCATAGTGGCAATGTGTGGGGGGAGGGAATAGACTGCTTGGTTATGCACATTTATTGGGATAGAGGGGAAAAAAGTGCTTTTTTTTTTTTCCCCTCCCACCTTGTTAAGCATCTTGCTAGAGTAGCTGCCACTATGTAGTTTTCTTGTGCTAGGACCTCTTTGTGTGGATCATGACCCACTTTTAAACAGATGAGTTCCAGGGCTTGGATTGCTCTGGACCACAATTGTTTTGTTCACTTCAATATCTGCTTTTAGCACTGTGGGACAGGGCCAAGTTTTACAGCAGAATGGAGGGAAAACTTCAAAACACTCATAGTATATAGCATGTGCGTTCCTGGCTGTGGGAGAGACCTGCAGCTATGAAAACTGCCTCTAGCCTACAGTGGATTTGGCATCCTTTTGTTTTAAAAGCTACTTGTGGACCTCTAAACTAATTATGGGAAGAACGGTGCTGCTGAAGGGTCCCGGGTTTGGCTTGGGCCATGCCTGGAAATCTGCAGTGAACTGCCTTATTAAACGCTGACTCTCCACCTCTCTTGTAGATGTCAATTTTCTTCATAATATACAATTTTACTTCTCTTACGCTTGTGAATTTCTGCATGAATAACTACTTAATTGTAGGGATATTCTATGATTTCATATATGAGAGAAGGCTGGGTTAGGATTCTGCTTGGGCTGTGTGGTAGCAAATGCTTCGTTCCCTTTCCTGGCTGGTCTTTTAGGGGATAATGGTTTACTACTGCTGCCAGCTGCTGATGCAATTCACTGGCTTCAATGTAAATGGTGAATTCTGTGCTGGGCAAGATCTCTGAGTGGTTTAAAAAAAAAAAATAAAAAATAGCAATACTGGTGGCCTGCATGTGATTTCTCTCTAAACAATAAATAGTAGACTTTTCTTTTTTTGACTTTCAGAAGCTTTTGTTGGACCTTCCAATAAAATGCAGAAAGTATAGTCACTTTAAGCTTGCTGCCTTCTACCTTTACAGATCTGCACAATGCAACAAATCTGCGGTCACGGTCCTTGTCTGGAACAGGAAGGTCTCTGGTGGGCTCATGGCTGAAGCTGAACAGAACAGATGAAAACTTTCTACTCTATGCACACTTAACTTACATCACTTTGCCATTGCATCGAATTTTAACAGGTGAGTTTTAACGTATATTAGGCGTGAACAGAGAGTCCTTTGGTTCCCAAACAGCCTTCTGCATTGGGGGATTTTGTTATTAAGATAGAGGAACAAGTATTTCTCTGTAAGCGAATATCGCTTCGCAGACCTCACTTGCTGACTGTAGCAGCAAATCAGCGTGAACAGGTGGAATGGTGTCAACCTGTGCTCTGTCTTTGGGACAGTTTTTCTTGGTGACGTTTCAAAGAAGTTGGTAGATTGCTCTAACAAACTTCCAGAGGAACACTAGTTGCTTTGATACTGGAATTCAAACTCATGAGCGCAAGACAACTCATTGTGAGCCCATCCACTGACAGTAGTAGTTGTAGCAGAGACCTGTGGCTGCGAGCGTTACAGAAAGGCAGCTCTGGAATTTGGAGTGACCTCCTTTACCAATTTTGACCCTTAGATTTCATTTCCATATAAGTTGCTTGGACTGATCAAAGTACCCACACTGATGCCCATGAATCTTTCTTTAACTACACATAATGATGTTTGTGTGTCCTACCATGAATACTCAGAGTACCCCATGTTGTTGGTCTAGCTGTGCCAATTACTACATTGATGACAATCAGTGCTGCATTTGTTCATCTGGGCTAGAATAGCACACAATAAGTTGGGTTTTACAATCTGCCAGCAGTACTGAAGTTTTGATTTTCATCTAGATAACTCTTGTCCGCCTACAAATACAGGTGGACTAGAGAAAACAACTGGTCTGCATGAACTCTGTCCATCAGCAAGCCTGTTAGCCTTTCAGGGATACAGCCTACAGTATGAGGGTGCCCATGGGATTCTTGAGATAAGTCTGAGAAAGAAGCGGTGGTTAAGGGCTCTCTGTCTAAATGCCGTGGCAGTTTCTTTTATGTAGACATTACTAGTGTTACTATCCACTCTCTTCATTCTTCCTAAGTGACTTCCTGAAGTGCCTTCTTGTTGATCATTGTGGGCAGAAAGAAAGTTTGATCCAGCTGCAGAGCAGTAACTTAGGCAAAACTATTGCTCAACTCCAGCATCTAGAGCAGAATAAAGTTACGATCCTAGAGCAATGTAAAGCCCTATCTCTAACCCTGGAAGTTCCTTATGACTGTTACTTCCTCTAAGAACTTACTCTTTTTCCTTCTGTTCCCATCCAGCAGATGGGATGACTTCTGAATAGGTTTATCTGGATTGTGGGCTTTTGATCAGTGCTTGCTTTTTCTTGTCTGGGTCTAAAAAGGGAACACACCTGAAAACAAAAACAATATTATACAGTGATTATTTCCGGACTGTTCCTGAAAGGTAGCTAAAAGGAAAGGAGTTTGTAAATCTGTTGTTAAACAGGTTAATCTGCTGCTAAAAGAGATGAGAAGATAGTATTGATATTAATGTCATTGGTTGTATTGTACTAGTGTAATAGTAATAGCTGCAGTCTTGTCCTCATTCGCAGGCCGAGATCTCAGAGCCTGTTGCAAAAGTACACTGGCTGTTACGCTACAGAGAAGAAAATTGTAACTGATAAGGTAGAAGTGGAAATCATACTTAGCAGAGAGGTGTTTCTATGTTTGCCCTCTCACTGTATGTAAGGATTGATTTCAATTTAGAAGAAATTACAGATTCCAGTAAAAATTGATCCTCCTTAATTAAGGGTGGATTTTGAACAAACTGTGTAATTTTTCTTTATGATAATTGTATTAATAATCTTACAGCTAGTTAGCTGGCATTATCAAGCTCACTCACTCTCTCGCCACAGGCATTTTGGAGTTCACAGAAGATGTATTTTTCCTGCTGGCATTTAATACTTGCTCAAGTGGGTGGCATAAATGCCTCCATGCTCAAATATTTGCTTTGAGCTTGAACATTCTTTCTGAGACTTAATTTGTTTAACATACGGTTACAGGAGTCAGTGTATACATTGAGATGCACAGAAATAGGACATGAAATGTCTGGGCTGTAAGGCAGAATTTTAATCTGCAGTTTTGCACTACCCGTGTTTGCTTTAGCTTGGCACATCAGGTAGAGTCCGTTTCCAGTGCCTTTTTGTAATGAATGCATTTGTGCCAATCGCAGCTTTCCAGCAAACGGGAGCGTTACAAGTCGGGCAGGGTGAAGTGGGAAAGACGTTCATCTCCCTTGGGTAATTTAGGAAGCCTGTACTAAGAATTTAAAATCCCAGTGATAGCAATCAAAGTACATTTTTAAATGTCTGGAGTTTATACATATTGATAAGACTTCCTTCGCTCTGAGCCTTCTCGCCATGCTAGATAATCCCAGTTCTCTCAGCCTCTTCTCGTATGTCAGATGCTCCAATCCCTTAATCATCTTTGTGGCCCTTCACTGGACTCGCTCCACTGTGTTTCAGTCTTTGCAAGTGTGGCTAGAGCCCTCTGGAGCTGTGGATCAATTTTTACTCACGTCATCCTCTTTGTGCAGCTGTGTGTGATCAGCCTATTAATTAAGCGTGTGCTCCTTTTTCCCATGTTCGTTATTCTCTGTGTAGCCTTGAAAAGGACATAGCAGCCCAGTTTCCAGATAACTTCTACGTGCTGCCATGCCAGCATGCTGGTTTTACTGTCCACATTTGGAAAGATACCCATGATAATGACAGATATTTTACAGGTTCATATTGTCTCACACTTGGACAAAATGGAGCTGAGGAGCCAACAAAAGGAGTAGGTTTTGTGGCAGCTTCTTGAGTGCAGAAATGTAGGCTTCGGGATATGGAATGGTTGGAAGAGTTGAATTATTTGCACCCGCATCTTCAGAGCCAGAAGTCTCTTTAAGGATCTTTGGGATGGTGCATTTCTCCCTTCAAGAAAGGGAAAAGCCTTGGCATCTCCTGTAATGGCACTTCCACTTGTTTCTCTGGAAGATTACGCCAATCTGTCTGACACATGATGTTTCATCCCACTATAAATGATACTTAGTAGATTAGCTGTCATCTCTACATGATGGGGTATATTTATGGCTTACCATCTCTCAACGAGGGTGCAGCTGGGGAGGAATCAAATTGGACTTTAATAGGCAAAGTGACATACGTGACTGGCATAACAGGGGGACTTTGCTGCAGTCCACAATTGCATCTCTGGTTCTTCATGCTTTCTGGTCCTGTGGCTACTTTCAGGAGCCTCCTAAGTTTGCCATATCTCTGTTTCTCTCCTTTGCCCAGATATCCTGGAAGTGCGGCAGAAACCAATTCTGATGACATAGCAGAGAGCGGGCACTGCCTTGGAGCCTTGTTGCCAAGTGCCTAACCACAGCGGTTTTCTGTGCTAACACTACCATCTAGTGTCAGGAACATAAACCTCCGCAGGAAAAAGGGAAGTCCAAGAATACCAGCCGATCAAAAGTGCCTCTTTCTTCCTTCCTCTGCTGTCATACACCGTATGCACACTTGCAGTACATCGCTTGAGTGTTTCTGACTGGAAAAGGACATTCAGCAAGAAAAAACGAGAAGGGGCTGTGTTTAAAACAAGTCAGCGCTTTATGGACAGTTTGTTACTGTGTTTACTTTATAACTAAGAAACCAACAATATGTACAGAATGTGTTAAACTTTATATTCTTTGAGAGAAACAACCTGAGAATTTCATAATGATGTACTAATGAACGTCGTTCCATAGACTCTTGCCCGTACACTCTCCTTGTCGGTTTGGCTTAATGTGTGTGTGAGCGCACGCGTGTGTGTGTGGGGATTGAAGGGAGGAGAGAATAACTTCCTCCTGAGGGACGAAAAGGAAAAAGATGCTACAAAGATACATCACCGTTTTGATACGTGCAGTGCATCAGGCCAGAGCTTAAAAGAGGCTGAAAATGTTCCCATTTGTTCATGTGTCAATTTTAGGACAGGTGAACTCTGCTTACAGATTTCCGTATCTACCAAAGAACAGCAACATTTTCATCCTCAAGAACTGGCTAAGAAAATAAGCCAGTGAAAAGAAGGCTAAAATGTGCTGCTATAGTAAAGCCGAGGTTCATATCCACTACTAATGCTGCTTATCTCTCTGTTAGCTGAGTTGATACAAGTTTAAGTCTAAAGTGGAAAAACAGGAGGCCGTAATTGGACTCCAAAACCTAAAAACCTTATCAATAACCAACATCCTCCTGCATGCACTGGACTTCAGAGTACGTAGAGTCATCCTTGCGGTAGCGTTTGTAGCCAGGGAGGACATGAGAGCTGACTAATGGCTGGGCAGTTTGCCCAGGTTCTTCATCTCCTGGTGGTGTTTCGCTGTACTGTTACATGCTGAAGCACAGAGAGTTTTCCTGAAAGACAAAAGACTGAAACGTAATTCTGCTCTGAAAAGTGACTAAAAATAGCATAGTGGGAGGTCTGAAAATAGTGTGTCAGGAGCTCTCAGGAAAAAAGCCTTATGTTTACAGGTAAAATGCAGCTTTCTCTAAATAGCAAAACTCTGCTGTCCTTGACATTTGAAAGCTAAATGCTTGAATACCAAGATTACTGCAGTCTGGTTCACTGTTTTGATATGGGACCCAATCAATACTTCAGTTTATTTACGACTGCATAACTGGCACAGCAAAGGGTGAGGTAGCATGTCACTTTGGGCATGTGATACTCCACTATATGTACAAATAGAGAGCAAAGATGCCATTTTTGTCACTTTTCAGACTCTGAGCACCTAAACTTATGCTGTTGCCACAGTTGCCCCAAATGGCATGTGCTCCGAGCCTGGACTTTTGTCTCCCTCCTACCCAGCCTTTCCCCAAGTGCTTTGTTGTTATTCTCTCAATAGCATCTGATGACTTCACCTCTGAAATAGGACTTTCTGCTTTTTTTCCTCAGGCCAGGTTCCATGGGAATAGCTCCACTTCAGCATAAAGGTAGACTAACTTTATCATTCAGCCCAGCATGGTGAATCCAGCATGGTAAGGAGGTCTTTTTTCATTTGAGGCTATGCCTGGAAGCGGTCACCTTAGTGTAGAGTAGTGACATTTCTAACACCGGCAGCATGACTGCATGACAGGGACGGCTGACCAGATTTTAGTTCGCTTCAAATGTGTTGCAGCAGCATTAGAAAAAAAAGTTCACTTTGTCATTACCAGCACAGCCACTTTTCACCTTGCAGCCTTTGAACTTTGCTCTGTGGGAGTGTGCACTTGTGCGTGTGTGTGTGCAAGGGTGTTCACGCAGTCTAACCTGAGGCACGTAACTTGGGTGCCGAGGCTTCCTTCCTGAGCTGGGGGGGAGGGGGAGTCCTAAATCAGCAGCTGAAGTGCGCTCTCAAGGAACTTGCTAGGCAGCCTAGGTAGCTTACCTGAGGTCCCGAGGCAGTGTGCCTAATGTCAGCCGGTACAAATATGCTGTCCATGCCCAGAATTAAACCACTCTTCATCTAGACCAGTCCTACTCTGAGGCCTCTGAAGATGCTCCTTATTCTACACTTTCATACTGCTGAGCTGGGCAAGTCAGGGCTCAATTTTCCTTTAAATATTCATTGGGGAGGGAAGGGAGAGACGGTTAATATTTGTACTACTAGTGACAATTGATACCTTTCAGTCAAACAGCCAGAGGAATAACACATGTGAAAAGGTAACGTATCCAGATTGGAACCCTAGTGGTAGGTGCCTGAATACTGCTCAGTCAACAGTAATTTGTAGCATTTTTTCGTATCGTGTATTATGTTTAGGTAGATTAATTTCACGTGGTCTGAAAGACTGAGCAAATCTTGCTGTGTAAGATTTCAGAGCAAATGAAGAATGATTCTAAACAAGTACATTTAGTATAAAGACAGTGTTACAGAAAGTACAGTTCAGATCCCACATCTATTATGCAGGAACTATCATCTGCTTTGTTACCCGTACGTGGGTGGATTTTGATGTCCAGTTTTTGAAGGGTTGCAATGGACGTGACCTGAAAAAGTCAATTGTTTTGTTGTATCCTGCTAGTGGATATGCTATAGGTACGTTGAAGACTCACCCTTTTTAGTAGAAAAGGGCTACAGGTATGCCCAGATGGACATCCATAGAAAATAGACATTAAAAAAGTCTACTGAATGTCATTAGTGCTTTTCGGAAAGAAGTAGATGTGCCAGATTCTCAGTTATTCCTTCTCTAAACAACTGACGTACGCTTCTTATGTATAGCCCCTGGTTCCTCCTTTCTGTTATCAGGTGGAGAAAACAAATTTGCATTTTGTTTTGCTTTTAAACAAACCCTTAAAATCATAATTTATTGTCCTTTTATAGACAGATTGACAGGGAAGATGATCAAGGTGGCACAGCTGGGCCCTTCACATGCTATTGCACTATACCAAAAAAACAAAGGGAATGTTAATAGGAACCTCTCACCCTTTTAATTTGGAGGGCTTTTTAATTCTGTAGGTCCTAAGCAGTAAACTGTTTTGAGCCTCTGTTGGCTATTTAAATAATTGCTGAGGAATGAACTGTCGTGTCCTAAATGCCATAAAGGCTGTATGGCTGTCAGTGTCTTAACTGTTGGAGCACAGTGTTAACAGTTTTCATTTGTTAACAGTTATGTTCATGCTTGAGAAAGCAACACAGTTAACAAATTTGGGAAGCTTTGCAGAACAGCTTTATTTATTTGCAGAATCCCGCCATACCTCATTACTCAGTTAACTTCTTCCATCCTTCCGCCCATTCACTCCCTCTGGAGATTGAGATTTACCACTTGAACTGTCCATAGATGATTTATATTGATAGATGTCAAATGCAAGGATGTAAACCTGTAAAACAGGTTTTTCACTGCTGTCAGTTTAACAAGTAAAAAGCCTTTGTTTTTTAAGAAAGCTCTTAAATCGATTATTTTGTACTAGCAGATTATTGCTCTGCCTTAGAAACCACCGCGTGTGTGAAATCACGTTCTCTTATCGCCAGCCAGCACAGGGTGGGTTCCAGGTCTCCTTGTAAAAAAGAAGCCATTTTCAGAAATGCCACAAATCTTTCAGCTGTCTTGGCTAATCCAGTGTGTGTAGGTTCATGTTCCTTCTCTTTTTATTCTCTTGGTCCTCATTGTTTACAAGGCTCGAGCATGTTGGGCTCTGGATAGCTGTTACTCAGTTTTCCATTTTTGGGCACGGTGTGCTTTCCTGAAAAACGAATTGCTTGCACGAGTGACTTATCCCAGTAAAATGCTTTTCCCAAAGTATATTTTTACACCAAGTTTTAATTTAAACAGTGAAGTCCTTGTCTCTGCAGACAGATTTCTTCTGGCAGGCCCTCGTGTACAGAATCCCATCTGGTCACTGAGGTTCTGTATGGATGTGAAGTCCACATAAATAGTCTACGCTTTTAGGCTATTGACCTGATTCTTGCCAATCACTAATTTTTCCCTTTCCAGATGATTGCTTGTCCTGTATTTTGTAGTCTCCAGCTTCCCCGTATTAAAGACAGATATAAGATAAAATCTTCAGAAGTGCCTAAGCCCTGTTGTTATCCAGTGGGGTTTAAGAACAAATTTTTATTTAGGAAATTAATAACGTAGTCTTAAATTCTGTGTTGTGTGTAGCAGTGTCAAGAAACGACAAGTTTATAGTTCTCAGAAGAACTGGCTGTCTTCTACAGACTCGCCCTTTGTGTTTGAAAGACTCGCATGGTTTCCAAAGGTCATGGCAGAAAGCTCTGGAAAATGGATTTCTTGTGATCACAGCAGTCAGATATCTGTGAATGCCTTATCTTGTTTTGTGAGGTATGACTGAAAGTGCGTGGCGCTGGTGTGTAGAAATTCTGTGTCAAAAATAGGTGCGGTAGAATCCAGTTAAAGGCATTGTGAAATAAGTAGCTTTTACACCAAACCTTAAACGAAAGAGTATTTTACACCAGAATGTAGCTATTTGGATGCTTTGTCAAGATAATACAAGGCTGCAAGCAGGTTACAATGTTGAACGTTCTCTGTGTAAATATATAAATATTCTCAGCCTAATTTTATCAAACTTAACACATGTTGCATGGTTTGGGTTTTTTTGCCTCATTGGTCATCAGTGTTGATGGGTTGAATAAAAGATGATGGGTTGAAAATCATGCTGGCGCAGTACCGAGCCCTTTGAACAAAGAGCAAGGAGAACCTTTGTGCACCAAAAATGGAGTTGACTTTGCGAATGGCAGCAGTGCAGAAGGTGTTGGACCCTGCAGCCAATAAACAGACCTCTTAAATGACCATTAATTCTGTTAATAGTGTTTTCTCTCTACTGTGCCTAGTGGTGTTTGAGTTTCAACATATTCCTTATGGGTGGCAAGCATAAATGGCGGAATAACGCTCTGTGGCACTCATGGTAAGCATTGCCACATAGACACTCGTGAGACAAAGTAACCTTTTTACTCTTCGTTCTTATTCCACTTTGAGCGAAGCCCAACTTCTGACTCTGCTTGCTGAATCTTTCAATGATGAGCCTGTGACAACTTGACATTGTGTAAGGGGCAAGAAGGTAAGAGTCAGTGTACTCCTGAATTTGTTTAAAAGGCTTTTTGTTTTTTCCTTTAGGTGTTAGTATTAAAAAAAACCCAAACAACCAACC